TAAGCAGTCAGAATATTCGACGTTGCGCAATATTCGATCGTAATCAGGTTCTCTTCCGCACGCGTTAAATGTTGAGCCTTCTTTCGATAATCCTTTGGGTTGCCTCACTCCGATGTGAGTTGCGCTGTGCATGGAAAGTGACAGTTGGAATTTGGAACATGGAAAAGCCAGCAGCTGGCGACGCTATGTGTCCGTGCACTCGAGCCACAGAACTTCGATGCCTTTATATACTCAATACCCTCAAGGAATCAAGTCGCCAAGTTCTAGAATTCACCACTATGGCATTTGAATGTGTCGAGGCTGCCTTTTCCAGGTCTCGGAAGTGATGTGCTATCCATCCTCCCACACTCCCGACCACTCTCTTCTTCCATTCGGAAGGACAATCTGATCTTGTCCACTGAATTTCAGGAGTCGCAAACTGCACATTGCCAACAGGATCGATTATTTTTGCAGTGGATTAGTTGGGCGAAACCAAAATGGACAGTCCAAAAGATTTTCACGTCTTTGGGGTGTTTCTTTACGGTATTTCTTGGAAAATGAAGTAAACAGGAAATGTGCAAAACGTTTTCATATGTTTATTAAGAAATAAAGCATTTTGGCAGTCGCAAGTCTTTGAGTCTTTTCCAGATATGAATGTACGTCTTATAGGACGGAATTGTGAATTGCCAAGGGATGGGAGGGGAAATGGGAGAGAAGGAAAGCCAATCGGTTCAGCCATAATGATGGGGACGACGGTGATGACCAAAGCCTCCGAATCCTCCTCCGTATCCTGTGAACCAAAGAAAAAAGGAAAATTAATTAATTTCTTGAAATTAAAAAAAAAGAAAAAAAAATACGGAAGGAGATGCCTATGACCTATCAAAGCATTTTATGAACAATATAAAATATGAGGTATGACTCCTACCTCCATAGCCACCTCCGTAGCCGCCGTAGCCCCCGTAACCCCCATAGCCACCATAGCCACCATAGCCCCCTCGATGGGCAGATTCAGCAGGGAAGAGGTCTTCCTCCTCCGCGCTCAGGCGAGCTCCCAGGGTCACAGCCATCAGACACACCAGTCCGAACAATCCCAACATCTATTCAACAAAAATATTTTTAATTTCTCCATGGAAAACAGGACGCACATTGTGTCCTCTTACGCAAGAAATTACATAATTAGGGGAGCCTCTTGCGACAGAATTCGTTTTCCATTCTAAAGGACATAGAGTTTCATTCAATGTATACCGCTTGAAATATGCATGACTATCTCATTCAATTCCAATGTATAATTATGAATCAACTTCCAAAAGATCAAAAGGAATAGTCATGCCCGAGAATCATCAGTTTCCTTGATT